TGTTTGATATTATAAAATATAAATCAGATAATCAATTAAACTGTTGTCCAGTCTGTATCGTAACTCGTAAGTATTGAGGTCTGTGAATTTGTGATTTTGATTTGTAAAAAGTTTGTAAAAGTGTTTTTCAAGAGACAAGAACTTTATTATAATATTTGCGATGTCTCCCAAAAAAAATAGAACTACTAAAAGATATATGGGAAGAGTAACTTTAAGTACTCGTATGAAAAAAGTTCGTAGGGGCAATCAACAAAACCTACAGTAAGTATATATAATATTATAAATTATAATATAATATATTATAGTATATACTAGGTATACCAATCATAAATATTTAATGTATTAAAAAAAAAAATAATGATTTATTTTATGTAAAATTAAGTAGGTATAGTAATTAGTAAATAATGATTGTAAATGGCAAGTAGGGCTGGAGCCTGGAGTGAACCTCAGTCATAATATAGTAAATCAGTATAATGGATGTGTTCAATTTGAATGCAATATTTCCTATCATTTGTATAATATTATGAAAAACTATTTTGAATGGAGACCATTGTCCATTTGTCAGTCTAGGACAGAGATATTCAAACTTTATCATCGCGCAGCTCCTATGTGTTTAGAATATTTTTACGGCTCCCAAATTATTGTAAAAAAATTGAAACGATACGGATACAATAATATTATAGCCAATATGAGTGATAATAACAGTAACTTTAGAATAAGAAATAAAACTTTAAATAGTCAAGTTATGGGACAAATGCGAATAACAGATCGCAAACTGTGTTATTTTGTAGTATATACTCCTAATTGGACAAGTATACAGGAAATTAAATATGACGAAATATTTTGGAACACAAAAATGGCCGAAAAACTTAAAAGGTAAAAATAAATTTAAATATTTATTAATTTTATTAGTAGGTAACATAGTTATTAATTAGATTACAAAATATTGTAAAATTATTTTTTTTTAGGTTTTATATGGAGTGTTTACTAACAGAAATTGTCGACCCGCTTTATGGTAGACGCTTCGAAATCACGGATATTAGAGAACCCGAATATATAAAGGAGGCACAAAGAAAAAAATTAAAATAAGTAATAATAATACCTAGGTATACCTGTATGCAATACGCAGTACGCGTATCAAATTATATTAAAGTTCATAATATTATTATAATGTTGTTTTTATATTTCAAATAACGTCAAGTGTTACTGCTGGGTCAAGCATCAAGCATTCATTGCCCATTTTTAATTTGTAAAAATATTGACAAAATACGTAAAAATGCCGAAAATTTCTAAGATTTCTAAGTTTTAGCTTTTTACGGAAAAATTCAAATTTCAATTTTTTGT